TCCTACCCCTTACTATCGTAGTGGTGATCTGTTTAACCTTCACAAACTTCATGTCTTTCCTCAGACTACAGTCTCAGTGTGTTGTTGTATTTCTGCAAGGGTATTTGAAACCTCTCTAGTGAAAAACCATGATTCCTTCGTCTTGGAGGTTTAAGTACGAGTGAGTGGTCTTGCTTCAAGCCAACTTACTATCCTCCTTACTCTGACTGGAGTGATCAGCTCCGTCGAGAAACTTATCGGTACATTGTTAACTTTACAACTACACTGCATCAACTTTAAAGACTTTCTACCATGATTGGACTAGTCAATGTTATAGGAAAGTTTCTCACTTACAGATAGGCCTCTAATTAGCTCTATACTGTACGAGCACTAGACTGGGCCCCATACCTCATCCATATGGGCATGTCCCAATAACTCATTGGACTGTTGGCGATTTTGTCCCAATACTTTCTGCTCATATCTGAGATGGTCAATCTTGCTTAGCTCGTAGCTCTATGGTTACCCATCTAATTTGCTCTATTCTACTTTTCAGACATGGCCTGAGGTCTCCTCTTGTATATCCTGCAAACAGCTTTTGGTCGGATAGATGGCGATGATGTATATGGTATTATGAAGCATCCTTTATTTCAACTAGTGTATATTGTTGGGACACTAAATTCCAGCGACACTATTACTACATGTAAGCCCAATGGTAAGGCTGGAAGGGGGTGTTGGCTGTGGAATTTTCGCGGTTTTCAGGAGGTCTGTGCATGGGGGAGGTCTGTGCATTCAAATGTGTAACACAAGTATCCCTTGATACTTAGTTTGTTTTACTTATAGTTTCGAGTATCCTTTAATACTCAGTTTGTTTTACTTGTTGTTACAAGTATCCTTTGATATACAGTTTGTTTTACTTGTGGTTTCAAGTATCCTTTGATACTCAGTTTGTTTTATTTGTGGTTTCGAGTATTTTTTGATACTTAGTTTGTTTTACTTGTGGTTTTGATTAACGAATACTGGAGAACTCACCCATTCAAGACATGGACAAAATCTTGTATTTAAAGACCACTGATTCCCTTGAAGGAACAGCAGACTTTGATGAATAGAGTATTTCTAATATACTTGGTTGAACAGTTACCTCTTCAAGTCCTTATTCTTTATATCTTTCTCTTGGAGCCTCCCTTAGCACAGTACACCCATAGGTTGTAGATCAACTTGTGCGCTACTCCTATTGTACTCGGAAGCATGACTAGTACCCTGGTACAAACATGTTACAATTAGTTAAAGATAACAAACAAATCCTTGATTGATTGAATTAGTTATTACTATTATATGATACTCTAAGCTATACATATAAAGAGGCATTAATAAGTCCCTTACTGGAGCTGATTACTCTACCTAAAACAAGAGTGGAATCGTTGGTTTTTTGGATCAAATAGAGTTTGTACTCTTTAGATACTGAATTGTTAGTATGACAAGTACATAGTCAATAAGGACTTCAATATAGCCTACAACTACTCAGATGGAGAATATAAATATTGAGGTACCTCCCTAGCTTTAAGGTCATCCTCCGTCTCCGCTACACCTCCGGCGATTGAAAACTCAACACCACGGTTTTTATCGTGAGTTTTTTGTTTCGTCGCGAAACTTTCTCCACCCTCCCGCCCACTCCTGCCTTTGGCCTCGGCCTAGGGGAGTCTGGCTCCTCTCTCCTCTCTCGCCCGGGGTATTGACTTCGGTCTACCGTCGCAGGGCCCTCTCTCTCCCTGGGGGTTGGTCGGTCGGAGGCCCTCCTCGGCTGGCTAGCAGGTGGTGGGATCCCTTCCACTACAGTGACGCTATCTCTCCCAGAACAAGGGACTACATGAGAGACGCGGTAAAACACCTGCTATGCTTTGCCCAGGCGGCCGTTGATGATCTTCCTTACTCCCCCTTCCTCCTCCCCCCACGCGTGGTGGGGAGTCCTCTCCTCCTCTTGGGTTGGCCTCGCTTAGCCTTCCCACGGTCGGCAACCCCTTAACCACCATCGTCAGACGGCCGGGACTACAGTTGCAGTAGGGGAGAACAGCCAACAGGCTACGGTCGATCTCCCCATTCTCTTGTTCCCCTAAGAGGCTGCCTAGTCAGACACGAACGCGATACCGATAGACGATGTTCAAGGTCTTTGGGTCTTCCCC